CACCACTTGGAGATGATTTTCCAGGTCCTTCCAGGTCTTAGAGGCTCTTTAGATGTCGGCACGGTCTTGAAAATCAAAGAGACCAGCTGAGCCAGAATCAGAGGTTTAAAGAAGACGAGTTCCACCTGAGAAGCTTTTAATTATGAGCACCTGAACACCGATTTGATTGATATGAAGGTGTGATCTTTTTTTATGACTGAGCTGTTTTTAGATTTATTTAAAGTCTAGAAATGACTAGAACATGTCAATTTGATGTCATTTCTATCCATCCATCCATCTTCTCCCGCTTATCCGGAGTCGGGTCGCGGATGTCATTTGTTTGAGTAAATCCCCTTTATTTGATGGTTTTGCTCAAATATTTTTTTAAAAAGCAACGATTTCCACTGAATTTTTCACACGACTGCATGTAAAGCACACATGTAGCAAATACTGAGATAAATTAATATACGGTTCATCATTACAGCTGCATCATGTTTAAATCCTTTTAAAAGACCCACAATTACTACATAAAAACACAAACATCTGTTGGAAATCCCTCCTACTTTCCTTACATGAAACAAACTCTTTGTTAATACACAAGATTTATCTGCCACCAAACCATTGGAGATCTTTATGGGGGTAAATAACATCAGGCAACTCAAAAAAGTATAAAAATAATGCACATTACAAGTCTGTAAATATGGAAATTGGTTATTTTGGGTTTTCAAATGTGATTAGACGGTGATGCATGGAGGTATAAAAGACAGGTAAATATATTAAAAGTACAGTACAGGTGCTGGTTTCTGCTTGAAATCTATTTAAATACTCATTAGCTGCTGATTCTGATTTGATTCTCCTGCAGGTATCAACACTCAGAATAATGAGCCCCAACAATCAGGAGTGAAGGACGTAAAAGCAGTAAAATATCCAGTAAATATGTAAAAACAGATCAATATGTGTCTGTTGAACCAGCAGGAGGCAGCAGAGAGCCGCTCACGTTTCCAGGACTTTGGATTCATTTTTATTGCATTTTTAATCATTTAAAGAACATTTTTAAGGAAGAAGCTGATCCTGTTTACATTCAGAAAAAAGCATTTTCAGTCGACATTCCAGCACAAACTGGTTTAAAAATCACTCCTTGTAAGAAGTATTTATTTCCTAAATGAGCAAACTGGTGCCTCGCTGTGGCTGTTTGCTCGCTGACAGGCTGCTTTGCTTCAGAAGTCCAGCTGTCTCCAGTGTTTTCGTGTCTTTGCTGAGTCTCTGTTGGCTTTTGAAGGAACCGACTCGGAGCCGAAGGTGGACTTCCGGCTGGACGAGAGCTCGGACGTCCCCATCCTGGAGGACCGGTCCTCGTCTCCCATCGACTTCCCTCAGGAGCAGTGGCTGGTGGGCACCGACATAGAGAACATAGAGAGGTAGGGCCTGGTTTCTGCTGCAACTGTGTTCCTCTAATAATTCATTTAGATCGAACTTAACAAGCTTTGCCTTTGCAGAGACATGCGAGAGATGCGGAACTTACTCAGCAAACTCAGGGAGACGATGCCGCTGCCGCTGAAAAATCAAGGTAGGTCACAAAGGTCATTAAAATACTGTGCAAAGACCAAATAAGAGCAACAGAGAGCTGATGAGGAAAAAAAGACAAGAAGCAGAAAGATGTCAAGTATTCAGATCTTTACAGAAAGTTAGCTGAAAGACAGAAAGATGATTATAAACTCAAACTTAAGCTGATTCTTTAAATCTTTGCTTCTTGATAGATTCAAGGTCTTAAATTGGTCACAAACACAGTTATAAATGGTATAACTCCCAGTGAAATGTGTTGTGCACCTGTTCCACACCGAAACAATAATAAGATAAAAAAAGAATAAGGAATAAAACACACAAGAAATTAAAAAAAACATAGATGAATGTATACAAAAAGTGCAAAAAGGGAATAAAACAAAGAAAATAATAATAAGAATACGTACATGTGTGTATACAAGGTGAAAAAGTGCAAAGTAGCAGGTTGGATTGTTACTGAATTTATATAATTGTATATTTATTTATATATACATATATGTTATTTATATTTATTATATCGACATGCTGTAGAGTTTGACCTTGAACTACTTTACTGACTCCTACTATTCTGTCACAATAACTTTTGCGTTCCATATCATCTGTAGAGAAAGACTAAAATCTATTAATATATATTATTGTGGTTCAATGAGCCTCTGCGTTTGCCATCGATGTGATAAACCTGTAGCGGCTAATTTAAACTAAAAACGTAGTAGTTCAGTGCATTTACGTGTAACATAGCCTTTATTGGTGCAGTTAGCATCGACAAGCTAAATTAGCTTTATTTTAGATTCAATCTTTGGCATTTCTATGGAAACAGAGCTTTAATGCAGCTTGTAATTAGGACTCACAAGAAGAAACTGCTTCACTATTTAGATCTCCTTGTTTACAATGACGTCCAGAGTCAACAGAATAAACAAACAGAAACATTTAAAGTGGTTCAGTCTGTGATGGTGGACTTATTTTGCAGGGACAGTTGAAGCAAGCGTTACTGTTTGGTGCACAATATTCAAAACGTGTGCAGCAGAAAACATAGTTTTTCCAACTTTGGTGCGAGGACGCAGGACCTCAAGCATCAGCCGATCAGTTGAATGAGCTGAATAATGAATCAGAAACCAGTTTGATGAAGAGCTTATGTATCGCAGCAGCAGGTCTAATAGAATAAGTGTTCACGTTGGCTCATCTGTTTAAGGTTTGCTTTGATTTTCCTTCACAGTTATTAGGAATCAAAGCAAACACAGCTGATAAAGGATGAGTTAAACATCTGTAGATCTTCTGAGAGCCGTCTGTTTGTGACGCTTTGTTGCAGACGACAGCAGCTTGTTGAATCTGACTCCACATCCGATGGCCCGACAGAGGAAGAGGCGATTCCCTGGACTCTGCTGCATGGTGTCGGGCTGAGAGGGCTTCGTCCTGCACATCTACCAGAACCGCTTCGATTCATTGCGTCCGTCTTCTTCTTTTTTTTTTTTGCACCAATATCTGAAATTGTAACCTTCTAGCGTCTGTGATCTGATATTTAGAGTTCTGCTGCTCAGCTCATCCGGCTCACGGTCAGTAATAAACGAACGACAGCAGACGTATTCGGCAGCAGGTCCAGTCAGGTCGGACCTCAGAGACACAGGCAGAACTCTGTTTCATTTTTAAGACTCATGCAGTCATTTTCCTGCCTATTTTTTCTTTCAGTTTTTCTATAATAAAAGCTAATAAATGTACATATTCGGGCTATGCACAGGCGTCTCCAGTGTTCCGTCTCACTGTGCTCGTGTCTCGCCGCCATGTTTGAATGTGAGACGTCGTCCGGGACGAGCAAGTCTCCCTCTGCTGCGACGCCGTGTAGACAAAAGCAATCCATCGATACGGTATTATGGTGCAAACACATAACCGGCTTCTGTAATTATAACTTTTCTCTTACTGTAGGAAAAAAAAGGGACTTAGAAATTATTCAACAGTGAGTGTGTTAAAACTTTATGCCAGAAAAGGTGTTTCAGAGCTTTAGCTGAACTTTGCCTTGTAGACGTCTTTGTCGTTCGGTTCCAACACTTTATTTCCCCCCAAAACTATCGTATTCAAGGTCCCCAGAGGATAGACACTAGTCATTTTACACACCTCAGCGCTATTACCAGTCATAAACTTCCATTTTTTGTCCATAAAATATCAAAATCTAACATATAAATGTGTAGAAAATGGGAAGATTTCCATTGGCAGATGTGCTCCCCAGATGATAAACCATTCATGAGCTTTTCTCTAGCGCCACCTGCTGCACAAAGTTACAATTTTTATTCATCTCGATTGCTGACAACGCTGCAAGAACACCAATTATTTAAATGTACGTGTCCACGGGGGCGTTTAGGGTTCTGCTGATTTGATTTTAGATCAAAAACGTGAAGTTTAAAAGGTTTTAGGGAGTTTTTTTAGATGCTGGATGCCACTGATTTGCATAAGTTTATGTAAATGTGGAGCAGCCGAAGTGACGCCTCGACTCGAAGACAAAAAGCAGGAAGGATAGAAATGATGGATATAGTGGACTCGTACCGATAGTGTCACTGCCAGCTGAAAAAAAATCACAACATTACAAGATAAAGTTAGCTGTAGGAAACAAAACAGAGCATTTCATTTCATTTTCCTGCAACATCCAACTCCTCCATCTTGACTTTTTCTTGTAAAATTCCAACTCCCTTCTCTTAATCTTTATTTTTCCCTGCAGTCGCACCAATAATCTTGTTTTTCATTCGTCACTGTGGATTGTAACTCAGCCTCCAGGGGGCGCCATCGTCAACACGCTCCCCACAAAAACAAACATTTTTAACTTCCAGCTTCAGTTTTCCATCACAAGGGCTTTGCAGATTCTCCACATATAGAAAAAAAACAACTAAATTAAAATCTTCTTGTTCACCTGAAACATTCTGTTTTCCCCCCATTGAATGTAAGTGCGATGTAATTTGTAAACTAGTGTTCGTGCGGTTTCCTTTTTCGTTCCTTAGCGTGCCGTGGTAGTGTTTAAAGTGCTGAACTCTTGGTTTTGGCATGTGTACGACTCAGACTAGGCCATGTGGAGTTAGTGTGTCCTGCAGTGTAGAGAAACACGGCGAAACTTCTGTACAGCGTAGAACATTTTATAATGTGAATAAAGTTTTATATACAAACGACGTGTTTGTGTGACTGTGGTTAATTCAGCAACATTTCAGGATTTGCTCTCTTTGTGAGCTGAAGAGAATCCACCTCAACACCATGTTAATGCATTGAAATTGTTAGCCTAGCTTAGCATAAAGCCTAGAATCCTCTCCACCGTCAGTGCAGGTTGCCAGATATGGTCCTTACCTGGCAACCTCGCTGTGATGACAGCTTGCAGATTAAACAAACAAGACAAAACATGTAATTTAATGAATTCTGACAGATTAAAGACATTTTTTTTAACTTTAGACCAACTACTTCCACTTTCTCCAAGTCTTAATGCTAAGCTAGGCTAACCAAGTGCAGAATTCTCCTTTAGTTTCATACTTACAGATGAAAATCCACTTTTTACTTCCTTAACATGTCAAAATATGATCATTCCCACCTTGAAACCGCAGATGTCAGTCTCAAAAACACGTATTTAAACTTTTCATACCTAAAAAACACTGTAAAAACCAGTTCTGTCAAGTTGCATGATGGGACTTTTCAGTGTGCTACAGACACTAAGAGCTTCAGTAGAAGAGACCAGAACTTCTTTAGATCTTGAAGACGTTTCACCTCCCAACCAAACGGCTTCTTTACTTCAGAGCAGACAAACAGTCTAGCTGTCTTCTGCTGAAGCTCTGAGACTGACCGTGACCTGGACGACTGAGAATCCACTCAGACGACAGCGTAGAGTTACATCGGAGCCATTTTAAGGCTTAAGGAAGCAGGTGTAGAGCCGAGGACACCACAGACCAACAGTGAAGCCCATTAGAGGGATTTGCATTAACAACAATCAAATAGTTCTGAACAACCAAAGTTTTGTTGCAGTTTAAAGGTTTTGCACAACTGTGATTAAAAAGCATATCGATGGTATAAAAATATGTGTTTTTATACGTAAACAAAGAATCTGTACGTCTTTTTAGTGAAATGTGCGTGACTTCAGGTTAGCTGTAGGGTTAGTTGTGCAAACTCTTTAAGACTTACTTTGAAAAAACTCTACAAACAAGTAATAAAAACTGTTAAATGATGAAGACCTGCAGCCTGAAGAAGGAAACTGAAAGTGCTTTGAGCTTTATCGGAACAAACTTATGCAAGTGTTCCAAGTTTTAGTTGGTTTACGGCAAAATAAAAGGTGCATAGTGCCACCTGTAGCCGTCTTACCTGCATAAGAAAATGCTAGGATTGATTTTAATGGGAAAAACTTCAGACTCTGCAGCTTTGCCCTGAAATGAAGGCAAAAATAACCTTTAAAAAAATCGCCTCATTGTCTTCAAAGTGTAGAGGTATGTGTTTGCTATAATCGTTAATCACCTGTAAAAATGCAGAAACAAGGTGCATTTAGTTGTTTAATATCTATTTGTCTCCATCTAATGAAGCACCAACGTGTTATTTACTGACTAATGAGTCATGACTCTAATTATAAAGTTCTCTTTGCGCCTCTTGCGTCGCACATTAGGCTGAAATCACCGATGTTCCTTCCACAACCAGCACCAAAACAAAGGCCGACTGCGTTTATTCCCAGATTGTGTAAATGTTTGGACCACAGGAGTGAAGAACTGCAGCGTTCCTCCTCCTCGGGGTCTCCTGGCTGTCAAACGCTCAACATCTGGTTTACGTCTGAGCAGCTGGGAAACTCCAGAGCTCTTAACTTCCCGTAACACCGAGAGACGAGGCGGTTACATAAGAACTCTCTGTGCCCTGAATATCAGGATTATCATTATTAATTCTGGTGTGTGTTTTTTTTTTTGACTCCCGTTGGCCAGTGAAAGTCCAAAAACAAGCTAATGTGATAAATCACAGTCGGAGGGTTTATATTCCTGCTCAGACTCCAGCCTCGGTCAGATCCAGCTCTGCCTGCAGTGCAGACTCCACTTAGACTGCTCAGATATTCAGAATCAGGAGCTGCAGAGTTAAAGGCTTCAGGATCTGCTGAAGAGGACGTCAGTGCAACAGGTGAGTCAGGCTTTGATTTTTTTTTAAAGCATGTTCTGACACAATCGTGCAGGAAACGTTTGCAGAATTTTGCAGTAAACCTTCTGAAACCTGCAGCAAAACCATCAAGCTGCTTCGTGTTGTTTCCTCTTTATTATTAAATGTGTTTTATATAAACCGCTTTGTGTAAAACATGGACTGAATCCTGCATGAAAAAGCAGTTTATATGCATTAAAAATCCAAATTAAAAACAAAGTTAAAGAGGAATAAATCAAATCTATGTGATGCTGCGTTTATTGAAATGAATAAGAGGATATCTGTTGAGGTAATCTGATTACTTTCAGAGCAGCTGGAGCCAGTCCGATGGCTCCTTCCAGAAGCTTGTTTCTGCTGCAGCTCCTCGGCTGCATCAGCGCCGGCCTGGCCTGTTTCTGTGAACGATACCAGTGGAGCTCCTGGTCCAGCTGCTCCAGAACCTGCAACCACGGCACCCAGCAGAGGCAAAGGTAGAACACATAAATCACAGAGCAGCACAGACACGGTGTTCAGAACGTTCTGCTTTCACTCCTCTGGACCATCAGGTCAGGAATGTTCATGAGGAGTCAGTCTGTCTCCATTTATGGTCTCGTTTCAGATAAAACGTCCTCAAACCTTCAGAGTGACTAAAAAACTAAACCTGCTGCATCCCTGGGAGTCAGATTTGGATGTTTTCAAATTATGTTTTGACAGAATTTGCAGAAATGTGGTATGCATGCCTTAAAACTGCAGCAAAACCACTGGATGCTTTATGCTGTTTTCTTATATCATTATTAAATGTGTTTTTGTGTCTTACGTAAACCACTTTGTGTATAACATGTGCTAAATGTTTCCTGAAAATGCGTCTCAGATAAGATACGATGTCGTCCCTGGAAGGCAAACCTCCTCCTCCAGGGCTGAGACATGATGAGTTCCACATGACACTAGAGATGAAGAGTGACTTTGCTTGGAGATGGAGGACACTTTTTAAGCCAATACATCAGACTTTAATAGATCAAATCAGCAAACATTTCTGCTTTTAATTAATTATTTGTGTCTCCAGGATCTTCTTTGGTAATTTAATCAATGTGTCCTCACAAACAGCTCCTCCACACACAGCTCAGACTCGGGTCAGATGCCAGACAGGCGGCTTTTTTACGGCATTTTTGCAAAATCGAAACCAACATCGAGCCGAAGCACCAGAATTGTGCAACGAGAGAAGACTGATGTTCGTCTCTCTGCTGCTTTCTGTTGTTATTGCGAAATGCAGGCCTGAAGCAGACGACGCCAGAAGCTGCAGCAACCAAAACTGAATCATCTTGACTTTTTCTTCAATGTTTTTTTTCTCTTCGTCTTTATTTTTTCTCCTGCTAATCTGTGGGGATGTAACTCACATTACAGCCTCTACAGGACTTCATCCAGCACCGGTTTGTGTGTTTTTCTCTGACCAGGCAGTTTAGGTTCGACGATTATTACTGGAAGAGCAGCTGCCACCAGCTATGTGACAGGGTGGACACTAGGGCCTGCAACGATCAGGCCTGTCCCATCAACTGCCTGCTGACTGAGTTCGGTTCGTGGTCCGAGTGTTCGCCGTGCGCCAAGAAACAGGCAGGAAGCAGCACGAACACACCGTCAAACACACTTACACTCTCTCTGCTCCATGTTTTATCCAAACAGACTGATTATAAGCATGCTTCTTTGCAGACAAGTGTTCAGTCAATGCCCCCAAAAATCTAAAGAATGCAGCAACTCTGTGTTTTCAATTATTTACCGAATTCAAGCACGTTTCTAACTAGAGCACCAAAAACAGAGTCTCATCTTTAAGCACATTAACAAAAAATCTGATGAATGCTCTTCACTTTCAGCACTTTTTTTTTCACAAATTGTTTGAACGTTAACATCTCAGGATCTATTAAAGATAAAAGCCTGATTTTCTATTATTTCTCATCATGCTACTGATTCATAATTTGCAATATTAGACAAGTAGATCAAGTAGTCTCTGATTATATATAATGAAAAGTTCCATCTTTGAGCTCAGATTAACAAAAAAACTGACAAGGCAGAAGTTAACTAGTGATGTTTTCTGAACCACGTGTAGCTGCAGGTCACAACAATACAAAACTAAACATGCAGAATCCTTTTAATTTGAAATATCTGGTCACAAAAAGTTGTTTTTGTTGAACTTTCATAACTGATTGACCAGAAATAACGAGTTGTACCACAAAAACAAAAGTATTCTGCCTAATCCAAGTAGATCTTTCAAAATATTTCTTCAAATATAACAAAAATGTTTTGGGTTTTTTTTGTGTGCAAATTTTTCATTTCCAACCCCACTTTACAGTTGTTTTTTTTTTGTATTTGTAGAGGATATAAAGTGAAAATTTAAACAAATATCTTGATAAATGTCCATATGTTTCTATGTAAACTTCAGTCGTGTACTTTTGTGTCGTTTCTTTGGGATTTATTAATGCATTTAATCGTTAAGATGACATCATTATAACATAACCAGAACCAAGTATATGGTTCTTTGGGATGTTTCTGGAGGGAAATCTTTTAATATGCAAAACAAATGTGCTGAAAGTAGGCAGTTTGTTTTTTGTTATTTTGAAAAATAGTTCAGATATCAGTCAATACTTGAGGTTAAATTTCACACTTTATGAAATATGCATAGTTTGGGGTAAAACTCGAGCAGAAGAGATGATCTGAGAGAGCTGGTATTAGCTGTAGCAAGCATTTTAGTCTGACAGAAGACATTTTATTACAACATACATGTTTGTTTCTTCTCTTCTAACCACCGTTGGTCACTAAGTGGTTGGTTAAGATCTAGTTTATTTGCTGCCACAGCTTCGGACCCGGTCCGTCCTGAGACCCTCCCAGTTCGGCGGCTCGGACTGCAGCCCGGAGCTGACGGAGGAGAGGCCTTGTTTCCCCTCCACAGAGTGCAGGTTGGCGGCCGTCGAGTGCAGAGACGACTTCAAGTGTGACAACGGTGAGTAGGACTTCACTTTTTGTTTTTAACAGAACTGACGTGTTGCACAATCACAGACAATCTGAAAGTGTTCCTCCTGCCGCAGGTCGCTGCATCAACTCGACTCTGACGTGCAACAAGCAGAACGACTGTGGAGATAATTCTGACGAGAAAGACTGCGGCAACGTACAACCCGTGTGTCCAGTTGAGAAAGCGGTGGCTCCCGGAGCCGACCTGGTGGGAAACGGGTACGTTAGAGGGGAAAAGGTCACTGCTGGGTTTGTAACTAACCTGCAGTCTGTCCCTGTTCAGGTGCTCCTCTGTCAGAGATCTCCCTGTAAAGACCGTGTATTACTATAATTATTACATTATTATTATTAGTAGTGGTAGTACATTGTGCATTGTTGCAGTCGTTGTAATGACTTTGAATGTTGTTGTGCCTTACGAATACCGTGTTTTAGAGACGAATATTGATCCTAAAAAGAGCTTAAATACTAAAATAGTCAAATCTGAGAAAACATTTTGTGCTCCCAATGATCACATAAAGATGAAATCCTGGAAAACACTCTGATGTTACAACTGAGCAATAAACATTAACAATAAATATGAGCTTGCTGTGAATGTTCAACCATGAAAATCACTGAATTTGAGAAATATTCCAAAATGAAAATGTGTAAAATGCTACCAATAAAACAGTGGATATTATTTGGGTCCATGCAACATTATAATCCTGTATATGTCTGCACTGTTGGCCTGAAATGTGGTGTTTGACTTTAATATTATGAGGTTTAATTGTTCATTGTTTGTTTGTTTATTCATTAGTTTATTATAGTTTAACAGTAGTAATAGTTAAATATAGTTTTTTCATCGCCTGCAGGTTCGACGCTCTGGCAGACGAACCGAGGGGAGCCGTGCTGGACAACATGTTTATGGGAGGAAGCTGCATTATTAGGAGGCCTAAGACCACCTTGCTGTACCATCGGGTTCCCTACAACTTTGAGAACTTTGAGATCAAGGTAGCATCCGGCGCTTCGGCTGTCACTGGAGCTGTTTTGTTCTAAAAGCCTTCTTTGAAAGTTCTGCGATGTTCTCCTCATGCTATTGGCGGGAAATTTTCTTTTAGTTCCCAGAATGCTCTTCTTAAAGGCAGGATAACTACAGATGTTCTAAAAATGTTTGGCGATAACATTGTTTGTCGTAACGTTGTGGAGACTACTGGACACACAATATGCTCAGTTTACCCCAAGACCTGAAACTGCAACTTTATCATTTTGTATCAGAAAAGTTCCAGGACTGGTACCACATGGGATATATTTCAATTCCAAACTACAAACTACAAGTTTTCCCCTTCGAAGTTATCCCCCTGGAGTCACTTTCCCAGCCTTCTCTGCCACGCCCTCCTTGAAGGATTCTTTCGGGATCCTCTGCAGCTCCGTCGTCACAGCCATCTTGATGTCATCCACGTCTTCAGAACGGGTCTCCTTGATGACCCCCTTGAGCTTGGGGAAGAGGAAACGATCCCCCAGAGCCAGGTGGGGCGAGTAGGGAGGTTGCTCCAGCACGGAGATGTTCTTCTCAGCCAGGAACTGTCGGATGCTCAGGGCGTTGTGAGCAGCTGTGTTGTCATGGTGAAGCAGCCACGACTCATCCTGCCACAAATCTCGCTTCTTCTGAACAAAGCAAATGCTGCAGGATCTCTTTGTAGACCTGCTGGTTGATCATCTAAAGGGGAAAACTTGTAGTTTGCAGTTTGGGTTTGAAATATATCTTTTGTGACACCAGTCCTGGAACTTTTCTGACACACTTCATACATGTTTCTTGCGAACACCTAAAAAATCTTACAATACTCCCTCTAGACATACATGCAAGGTCTGCTGTTATAGACCTTCGTGTTTGTGGTTGTTTAGGTCGGACAAGTAGAGGACTTCAGCATCGAGCCACAGCAGCTACACACCGAGCCCATCGATTTCCAGGCGTCCAGTTCATCACCTGACAGCCACACGGCATATGACAGCAGCTTCCTAGTCCCCATCTTCTACTTCAATAGGAGGAGTGGGTCACAGGTCAGCTCTCACAAGGAGGCTTTTGAAGCTTCAAAGAAAAAGGTGAGTGATGCGAACATCAGCATGGATACCCGTGTGTAATGATATATATTTACAACTATGTAACAGTGTACCTAATAAACTTACTAGAACCTTGATTCACTTGATGCATTCACTAATTCTCTAACCTTAAGACGACCAGAAGTAGTGATGTACGAGGTGTGATCGAAAAGTTCCAAGACTGAGCAAATAATAATAAACAAAACCTGTAGCTAATGTTTAAGCTAATTTGCGTTGGCGCGTGGTGAGAAAACAAGTGTTGGCACAAAGGTCGAATGTTTTCCCTCAAGACTTTACATTGAGAGTCTGATTCTGGGGGATAAATTCACAACCACATGAATGTCCAACAACAAAATGACCTGCTCACCACATCTACCTTCTTCGGTCTCGGAGATCGTGGATCTACTGCCAAATTACTGTTTGGTCTCTCGGTGGTAGCTGTAAACCAAACTCTTGCCATTAGTGGTGACCCTGTCGGGCTACTTTGGTACAGAATTCGATGTTTACTCTGCTTAAGTTGGAGGTCCACGGTGAAATCGCAAACTTGCATCTACAAGTGGCCAAAATGGGACTTTCAGCGAGTGTTTTAAATGTTGCAGGAGCACTTAGAGCGGTGTGTTACTGCACTAGACGATTACTTTTGAGAGGATAGTGGTCCAGTTTAAATTATAAGCAAAGACTCAACTTTTTAACACACAAATTTGTTCACATGCACTAAAACTGCTGGTTGTCACACTAGTCTTCATTTTCATTCCACTACTTATTTCCTCCTCTTCCCTCCGTAGGACTCCAAATTTTTCCGAGTACATCAGGTTCTTCCACTGTCCACATTCAAGGTGAAGGAACCAGGCGATCTCGTCCTGTCCTTGCCTTTCCGCCAGTTCCTTCACGCGCTCCCACTCGACTACAACTACGCCCTCTACAGGGACATCTTCCAGCGCTTCGGGACGCACTACTACGGCTCAGGAACCCTTGGAGGCCACTATGACCTGCTGTACCAGTACAGCCGAGAGGAGCTCAAAAGTTCAGGTACGAAAGCAACGTGTAGTTCGTCTCAACACCTAAGCAAAGAACCAGAATGGGGTTTAGTATACTTCAAAAAGGTCACATGATGGATTGTCCAAACAGTATTTATACCTGCCAGGCACCAGGAAATCTAGTAATTCTGTATCCATTACACCTCTTTGTAGTCCCAGCATGGTGAATAGTGGAGTATACTTGATTATATATTTTGGACCATCCATTGAACTTCTTAGTGTCAAGCTCAAAGATAAGTCCCCAGGGATTTGGTTTGGAAACTGTTGGATTGCAGGAAACCACTAATTACCTTTATATTGCCTACTATTAAAAGCTTGTTGTCAGTTCCTTTGTTCCTGCATCAAGTATGATCTTCCTTCTTGACAGGTGAAACCGAAGAGCGCATTAGAGGCTGCCTGAACCGAGAGACCAGCTGGTCCATCATCCTCTACTCCCAACATAGCAGCGCAAACCGGTGCTCCGACAACAGGATGACTCAGAAATATCAAGGTAACGCCGTCTGCCAGAAAGCACGTCTTCCATATTCCCGTGTTGCTCACTTGGAGACGGTTGATCTCGGTTCTTCCCCTCACTATTTCTCTCGTCTAGGTTCGTACATTCAGTCAGCAGAGAAGTCTTTCTCTATGGTGAAAGGAGGTCGGACCCGAGAGGCAGCAGCTCTGGCCTGGGAGAGGCAGGGTTCCACTCCGGACAAAAAATCCTTTAAGAACTGGGCCATGTCTGTTCTTGAAAACCCTGCCGTGGTCGACTACAAGGTTAGTTCTTCACTCGAGAAACATCTCCTTCGTAGTCCAACTATAAAAGCTCATGTTTCACTTGTGTACTCGTGGGTTTGTCCAGCTGCTTCCCATCATAGATCTGGTTCGGGGGATTCCCTGCGCTGCCACGAAGAGGAGGCACCTGAGGAAGGCCCTGCTGCAGTACCTGGAGGAGTTCGATACCTGCAAATGCTCTCCTTGTCCCAACAACGCCAGGCCGGTCCTGTCCGGCACCGAGTGCAAGTGCGTTTGCCAGACGGGAACCTTTGGCACCAACTGCGAGATACGAGCTCCTGACTACACTTCAGGTACACAAAATGTCTAATGCCCGACTGGTTTAAGTCATGAGAACATTGTTGGAGGGTGATGAGCGAGGGAAGGGTTGATAACACAAGAGCAGAGTTCACTTCTTGAGTTCTAGTGTCCTTCTCCTTCTCAAAATGTCACCAAGCATCACCCATACAGAAAATAAATGGGACTTTTACTACTTTTACAAATTGAGATTAGTTTCTACATTGCAGCTGTTAATATCTACGCTTTTATTCTCACCCCAACACCAGAGTGGACTTAAATCTGCAATACTGGTTTGTCCTACAACATGTCTGTTGAGAACAGAAAGATATCTTTAATAAATTGTCGCCAAACTTTTCCCCACAGAATGAATCCTTATGACTTAGGTTACATCTTGACCACCACCATTAGGCCAGATTACAACTTTAAGGAAATCCAACACAAAAGAGCAGACATTTAGAAATGTACTGATTGCACTCATGGTCCCTAAAGCTTTATTCCCTGGCATTTGTTCTAGTCCCGACCTCAGAATAAAATTCAATTTATTAGCCCCGCTACTGATGAAAACACCTCAGAATAACTTTCTTTTTGTCCTTGTTGTGAGATATGAAGTTCTCTGCAGTTTGTAGGAGCTGCTAGCAAGTCTTCAGACTCTTAAACTAACACGCAGTTCAAACTAAATTCTGATTCTAACCAGGTTTGGTGACGTTTATACTGTGACATCCCTTCACAGAGGCTGTGGACGGTTACTGGAGCTGCTGGAGGCCGTGGACTCGATGCGGAGCCTCCATGAAACGATATCGGACCAGGCGGTGCGATAACCCCGCCCCCCTCAGAGGAGGTCGACCCTGCGCCGGGCCGAGCAGACAGGAAGAACCCTGTCACATCTCCATCTTCCAGAAGTAGGAACAAGTGTTTACTACAAAACAACTTTTAATAATTTACCAGAAGATACATGACACATCAAATATCTACCGACACACATTTAAACTCGCTTTTTTCATTTTGTCTGTTTAACGTTGGATTTGCTGCATACCTTTTGGATTTATGCTGTTTCTCGCTCAGACAGGAGACTTGTGACGGCGACGACGACTTCACCGTCGGCTGGAGGGACGAGCTTCCTCCCGGTGTTCAGGGATGTCTGAGGCCACAAAAACCAGCCAACAGCTTCCTGAGGGTAAAAGCTCACCTGCCAGCCTGCAGTTACTCACTGAAATGTATAAGAATGAAACAGAAACTTTGGTTTATGGCTTATTTTTTTATATACTTTTTTATGGAACCTCATGCTTGCCAGTAAAACACATGCATCCACTGAAAGTTAAGAAAAAGAATAAATATCTAAATATGCTGTTAATCACGTATGACAAGCAAACTGTTAATAAGAAACAGTTTTTATGTTTTGTGAAACTTTTCAACAGTTCAGATCGACTTTGTAAATATTGTATATTTTGAAGTAATGCAGTTTAGTAAGTGTTTAACCACTGCGTATAAATGCTAAACTATGGGAGTTAAAATGAAGTGTTAGCTCTTTTAAAACACAACAATGTATTGCTAATGCTAAATTAAACACATGCATTTGACTCATTTAAATAAAAAAACATCCGTATCTGTCTTAAAAGGACACACAACAGAAATAAATTGTAACATAGATTTGTTTAAAAATTAATTTCCAAAAGGCCTTTACTTTATTTATGGGCTTGAAACTTCAAAAATAGCATTTATGTGGCTGCAAGGGTCCAAAGAAACCAAAACACTCATCTGTTGCATTGAGAAATTTGTAGAATCCAGCATTTCTGGAGCTGCATCCTTCATTAAAAGTGTAAACTCCACAAACAGACCTTTAAAAACATAATTTATTTTGACTATTTCTTTATTTTTTTTGTGTTCTGCCTTTTGTGGACCCTCCAACTTAATGGAAATGCAACACTAAGTTGCTGGAATAGCTCTTTAAATACCGAAGTAGAAGATCTGAGACACCTCAAAATGTAATTCAGTCTAAACCGTGAAGCTGCAGCAGCACTCCTAATAATTTAGTGATAACACATGAGGACTTAGTCATAGTACGGTGTCTTAAAATAACAGCTCCCTTTGGTGTTTACTTTGACTTACATCAGAATTATAACTCAGTGTCTCATGGTTCTGACAACAGGAAGTCATTATAATGTGCTTCTAGTTCACAGGCGAGTAAAGGATGCACGGGAGGGTTTATATTTAGATCCTTTGCTTGCATTTATGAATTTCCTTCTGTGACAGAAAGCGAAACAATATTATAGCTTCGGCGAGGACGAGGAGTTCGAGTGCTTCACTGGATTCGAACTGGAGGGTTTCCAGTTCATCAACTGTCTGCCTGACGGGACCTGGAGTCAGCCGAGTGGAAAATGCATCAGTGAGTTTGTTTTACGTTGCACAATAATCTCAGTGATTTGATTCCTGCACCTGAAATCAGCTTGAACTCCGTCCTCCTGCAACCTTCAGGGAAGATCTGTCTTCCTCCGGACGTCCCAGACGGCATGACGCTGGTCCCCAGCAAAGAGGAGTACAAAGTGGACGAGTCTGTGGGTGTGAACTGCGATCAGGCCGGTCTGTCTCCGCTGCCTCGAGGCTTTTATAAATGCAGCGACCGTCTCACCTGGGAGCCTCCGTTACCTGCCGACCTGCGCTGCACCAACGGTACAGAACGGACACGCTGCTGCAGCTTTGGGTTCCTGTAGAGAATCACAAAAAACTGTCACATCTGATGCTTTTTATGCAGATTTGTCACGATGGCATTAATCGTTGGGTTGTACTCTGATCGCACTTGGGTCCAGCCAATCAGAATAGGTGTTATTAAGGCCTAAATAACATACATTTATCTAAAAAGCTTCTAAAACAGCCTTTATTTGAAGATATCTGAACAAGATTTGGTGAATTAAACATGCCAATTGTAGGTATTTATAAAAAATCAATCAAAAAGCTCCATAATATCAGATCTTTAAGTGTTTTTTATACTACTTGGTAGTTTATTCTGGTATAATTAACTACACTTTACGAGCAGATTGCAGGTTTTATATGAAAAATGATTTCTGTGTATTTTGTGTCCACAGACGAACCATTTGTTCCCGAGGCTCAGTGTGGTCCAGGAGAGAGGCTGCAGGGATCCACATGTGTTTGTATCCAGCGGGAGAGCTGCCTGTGAGCTTTCATCATCTGTTTTATCTCATTTTAATGTATTTTTTCAAAATCTTGTGATCTTATTGTGTTGTTAAAAGTCTTTCTTATATAAAGCACCTGCACTTTCTGTTTATTCGAACTAATTTATCCCAATTTAGCCATTAAATTAACTGATTTTGTGGTTGTTTCTCATTATAAACAAACAAACAAACAAACAAAAAACTCTTTTTGAGATGTTACTGAATGGAGACCTGAATATGTGCAGCTCTCAACCGGAGAATCTCTGCATCCTGAACTTGGACGTCGGCGTCACCGTGTCGATGTCGCTCTGCTCCTTCCACGCCGGTCGTTGCCACGGTGACCCGCTCTTCTTCGTCAGCAACGGCGCCTGCGGTCCGGCCGACCAGGCCAAACTGGAGTGGGCCAAGTTCAGAGCCACGATGTCCTCCAGCAGCTCTGTGCAGGAGCCCTGTGATCTGGACACCTGCTACGAGTGGGAAACCTGCTCAGGTGAGTTCATGTTTTACATTCAGATTGTTTTCTTATGTGGTTGAGCTTTAAGAGTATAATAATAAATGTATACTAAAGCTTTATGAGACTTAATGAGCAAAAATCAGGTTTGAATGTCCCCGTGTCATGTAAAATAAATGAACATGAACTCATTTCTGTCTGCAGTGTTGAAGGAGTGCCGGTGCAGAGCTGCCCGGGATTGTCCCAAAGTGAAAACCCACATGTTCTGCGTGAACCTGATGAGAACCCAGCGGAATCGCACCTTGGATCTCTGCACTATGACCGCCTTCAAGTGTGCAAGTTATCAGTTGCAAATCGTCAACGAAGGCGTCTGTGCGTCCACATGATCCCAATGACGCTGAACCAAAAAAGTGCTTAAAAAGTAAAGGCTGCTGGAGAAACTGTGAAAATCACTACAGGCTTTAAAATACATTCATGCTAGAATTACTTTGTGTGCATCAGAACGACAGATTTAGAAACGTTACATTTATGAAAGCAAACAGACAAGCAGGTGTGTCGCTGAAGCATCAAACACAAAGAGCAGGTGGTTTGTGGGTACTTTCACTTTGCTATTTTCCAAACAGACACTAGATGGCAGCTTGAGGCAGCAAAGTGACGCGACTTTAACTCGACTCTCGGCAGATTTTGAGGAGCCTCTGATTGCAGATCACATTTATTTTTCCTAAAGAAAATGTCTGGGACTCGGAGTTGGAACGTTTCTGCAGCTTGGATCATCATGAAGCTCCTCCCAGTTGAGTCTAAATGTTCAAACTGTGTTACGAAATTTCTGCTTTTTCAATAAAAGTTGACAGTTAAAGCTTGTGTACATGCAGTTTTTATGTTTTTACTCCCAAAAGGTGTTTCATTAAGAAACATCCAATCAGGGAGCTTAAATCAGCCCATTTTTAATTCTGTCAGATTTAATACAATTCAGCAGCTATAAAACATGTTTGGTTTCACCTAGAATATCGTACCCTATCGATTTGCACCTATTCTCCATTAGAAACAGCCGCCGAGGATCATGGGTATTGTAGTGTTTAGGCCCATCTGTGACTACAATTTCTCAGAAACACGGTGGAAATAAATAAACCTGCTGTCTTTAACATTAACCCACAGATTTTGTTGCGTTATCTGTGTTTCTGTGTCGAGTAACATTAAAGACTAAAGACAAAATTTAAAGCAAGTTTGAATGAGAACAGGGAGAACCGATCCAGAACCAGCAGCCTTTTCCGCAACTCCAAGAAAATATGAAACGATTTATCTGATTAATCTGCACTCAATGTTTTTTTTTGTGGAAGAAGTAGAAGAGTTTTTAAATATATTAATCTGTGAAAAAAATCAAAAGAACACAAATATTCAAGAAAATGTTTTATTAATTTTCTATCACAAAAACAGTTTATTTATAAAAGGAAAAAAATTATCTGAAATGTTCATTTTACATTAAAATGTCAGAGGTCATTAGTGCTGCATGACGAATATAAAACGTGTTAGAAAAATATGTGTTTCTATTTACAGCCCAGACATTAAAGCTGCAGTAGGCAAAAAAATCTAGTGGGAAAAAAAAGGCAAAACAAACAAACAAACAAAAAAGCCAGAATATGAAATCACAACTTTCCTCCTGCAACTCAGATACAGAAACATGCTTCAGACATGCAGAAATACTTCCGTGGCTACATGCAAAAACTTTCATTTAAATCTCTCCTGAGAGAAATTCTTCTGTTTAACCCACTGTAGCGCTTCTTTCCACTGTAGACCTTGTTGCTCTTGAAACCCTCTCACCTTGTCTCTTTGAACAGACCTATGATTGGATAAAGCCCCCCATCTTTCTAAAGCCTGAAAATGAAACCAAAAGGGGGCCTAGTTTCCTGTCAGACCATTTGAATTAAAACATGCTAATAAAGTTAGCAGCCCTATCATCAACCAGGTCTCCATTGTTATCTGCCACCTCTTACAGGATAAAGCAGGTGTAGTTAACAGATAGATGGATAAATGGTTTCTGGTAAGTGGTGCCAAAAATAAATACTGCCTACTTCATCTTTAAGACAAAAAGCTCCAGTGTGAAAACGCTCAGTGATGATGAACATCTTTACTCTGGACAGGTATCGATACCGATCACGCTGACCTGCTGCCCGGCACATCTTCTGGCTCCAACCTCACATTCAGTCATAGTAACAGCATCAGTACCGGACCGGACACACAGCGGGGCCGAGCCTGCAGGGCACGCTGATGCACTCTGGCATACGCATTGTCTCGCTGATTCTGCAAAGCAACAGTAAAAGTTAATAGAGCAAAGGATTTTCATATGTTTTAAACTCCTTTAAATGAGTCCGGCTGACCCACCTCGACAGACTGTTCCTGGTTTGCAGGCCTCGCAGGACGTGAACGCCTCCTCTGGCCACTGACAGTCGCTGTCGCTGGCTAAGGTGAAGTTCCGGCCCATACATCGCAGCGCTCCGAGCTGACAAACGCCCAGCAAACGAGGCTGACCGGAGCCCAGCGTGGCACACAGCTGAAGAGACGTCCTAAACGAAGGCGATTACATAGAAAAACACAGCTTTTCAATCATCTGTTGTGCGTTTTTTGTTGTGCTAAATGCAGAAGTAAGTCTCATAACTGATACTCACGAGCACTGAAACGGCATTTTGCACACGCACTCGGTTTTTCCTGCCGTCTCCCAGACTTTGCACTTCAGGCCGGCTGGAGGAGAAGGAGCTGTAGGCGCTGAGAAGAAATACAAAAACCGAGATTAGCGCGAGTACCGTGCACGAAAGTACAACCTTAAAGCTGCTGCAATCAATATTTTTATTAGTCAAGCTGATCACACGACTACTTGTGTATAAAAGCGTTTACTTGCAGCAATGAACCCTCAACTCTGCAGAGTTTCTAACATCTATGGAGCAACTTCAAAGTCAGTGTTTTGGTTTTCTGACCCGCAACTTATCTTCCTGTAGTTTTCTGGCCAGCAAACACATATTTTGTTTTTAGTCATGTAAGCCCTTAAAGCTAATTGCACATTAACTTCCCGCTGTCAAATCACATGCAGACAAACTAATACTAGAACATGATGGAACTGTCAGGGAATGGGGTTTTGGCCTCCTGTGTTTATGTTCTCTTCCAGGCATCCACCAGAGGGCGTCCTAGAGGACCTCTACTCTGCTGTGACTTATTCCCTGCAGGTGCGTTGTCTACACACCTGCGACTCATCTGGCTCGTCACTCTGTGGATAAGAGGAGCTGCCACCAGTCAGTCTGCGCCTAAGTGTTGACCAATATGGTGACTTCAAGCCACCCTCTGAGTGTTTCCCTCCGAGCTTCAGAGTGACTGTCTTTTCTTCTTGGAAGATTTTTCCCCGTGTTCCCGATCCATGTTTGTACTTCCCATCTGCATCGAACCCAAGTCTTCTCCGTCGCTCCCAGGACTATGAGCTTACAACCGGTAACACCCCCGCCTTGTTTTCAACTTCATCATTGCATTTTCTGTTTCTGTAATAAACCTAATTTTTTCTAACTCCATGTCTCCTGAGTGCTACACTGCATATGGGTCAAGCAGCCTTAACTAATCCCTGACAGGAACATCTAATGGCTGAAGAGGCAGATGTTTCCCTCAGAAGATGGTGGAGACCAAAAATGGAGCTAAAATGAGAGTTAGTGCTGGATTTAACGCCAACTTTCTGATAATGCTGCAATGTATCTGAAGAATAGGCAACAGATAGAACTTAAAGATTGATAATATGTCAGAAATATGCTCACATTTTGTTTCTTCTGACCCCGTGTGACCAAAAAATATCTGTTAATGTAGCCATTATTTGGATTGGCTAATCTGGAACTGGAAACAGGCTCAAAGAAGAAATGTTTTTGGCAATTTTTGTAGCATATTGTATAGCAATAACATTAGGAGTCATAGATTTGTTTAAAATAGGACATGTCGACTTGTTGAAGGTATAAATAAGATTACTGATAATCATTCCACTGAGTGTACCAGTAGGACACAATAATAAACCAGCAGAGGCGACCTGAAGTGGAGGCTGCCTGCCATGACCAAATGTCTACTATAAAAAGGTAGCATTAGCATAAACTGCCAGGATAAGTCATTTTTCAAAGCTAGTAAAAGTTGCATCACAAACATTTAAATGCTGCTGCTGGAACTGCAGAATACTGCAATTAAAACTATACAAAAAGTAGATAGATAGATAGATGCAACTTTATTGATCCCTTCGGTAGAACCTCAGGGAAATTGTTGAATGTGCAAGAAAACCAAAACTATGAGCCAAAAGAGGCTAAAAGGCTAAAAAGAGTGGATGAGTTTATCAAAGCAAATCCAGTTTCTTCATCCAAAGGCTGATAAAGTTGAGTTATTTTAAGTCTTTTACATCATAACGTCTTCATAGTAAAAGGCTTTACGCCAATAGAAGTGACTGTACCTGCTGTACACTGAGCACCAGCAGGAGACGGGGACCACTGCAGGCTGGGGTTGCAGATAATCTTGGACGCCTCGCCGACGAGAACCGACCCGACCGGACAGGACAAGGACACGCTGTCCCCGATCTGATAGGCTGCTTTGGTGGGCGTGGCTGTAACTAAGCTGTTGATTGGAGGAATCCCACACGTGGAACCTGGAACAGGAAGTGAGAGAAACACAACAATGCTGTAATTCCTAGACACCTATCATGTGGATTATTTTTCAGAAGATGGCTGGATTTTAAATCAAACCTACAGCAGCAAATGTAGATTCTTTCAGGTTCTGAGGAACCAGTTTGACACAACCTAACAAGGTATTAGTGTCTTCTTCTACCAGGTTTTGGGCCTTGGTGTCAATGTGTCCGATTCTAAAGTGGATCTAAATATTCTCTGATCATGGGGCACCAGCACCAGAGAAGACGGGAAGTTAAACTTTAAAGTGACCAGAAAAATGGAGGTGTTCTTTGATAAAATTGGGTACAAGTTAAAGGAAAAGGAGAACAAGGAGGTAAAAGCTGCTGCTGTGTTGTACCAATGTTCTCACTTGATTTGGGTCTGTTTGGGTCGACTCTAATTTGAATTTGGGTAAGGTCTGGCTGCACGTAGTTTCGCCTTGGATTGGATCTCGCTTTCTTTTGAAACTTTACGTATGTATATTGGGTTTGCATAAGGTTTCTTCATGTTTGGTAGCGCAAATCAGTCGACAGTCATTTATGTGTTTAAGACTTCAAATGCAAATCTTCGTGCGAGCTCTGACTACATGATATTAGCACGAATGAAAGCAAGTATGAAAAATTCAAGTCATTGCAAACAAAAGTGACAGAACGACGAGTGGTGCCACCGTGTTGGTGTTCTTCCTACATTATAAGTAAGGACGTTGCATGGCAACTGACCAATCGTGCTGTTGTGATGTCAAATCTACAACGATTTTTCCTTCAGGGCCGTCTGCCCTCCACAAAGGCTTTTAAAACTATAGTCTATGTTGTAAACGGGTTTATTTTAATCCAAACCATGATCTTATTCTAACCCTAACCAAATAGTTTCTTTATCTAAACCAAAACCAACCTGAGACTGAAACTAAAATAATAATTATCAAGCATCTAAGTCTAAATATGATAGTTTGATTGTGAGTTTTGGTGTCACACAAGACTCGAACCTCAGCTTTCTCCCTTAATGGACTTCGTTGGTCTTTATACGACCGTCACCTGACTTCTTAAGAAAAGCTTTGAGTCCAAAACCTTAAAGGCAAACTTTTCCCACTATGGAGTCACACTTTCGTATCACAAAGCTGTGTCACCACAACAATGCAGGAACAACACCAACGTGGTGATATCAGAGACACCGCCCAACATCAAGGCTACATCTGGGGTGGCACGAATTTATGACGCCATCTTTGTCTAATCTGAGCTGTTGTATCAGATAAAAATACTTTATAGTCTGAACCCAGCAGAAGAATTAACCTTGACTTGGGAATCAGCTCTGTATTATCTAACTATTTATGAAATTTTGAGGAGATTGGATTACGCTTCCAGGCAAAGAGATGAAAAGAAATGGTGGTCCGAGCTGGAAGATTCACATTGAAGTGTTTGAATGAACACATGAATTGCTGTACCAGTGGCCACAAGGTGCATTTGGATCCAAAAACTCACTTATTCTTCATCCAGTTTTATAGAAAAATCTCTTACAGTAAATCATTTCTGAAATCATCTGCTTGACAACAGACCAAAAAACAAACAAAAGATTCTGAAGTGTGTACGTACTTTTACAAACCATCGCTTCTGAGCTCCACTTCTGGTTTTCAGCACATCTGGCTTCAGCGTTTCCAGTGAGGTAAAACCCGTCTATGCAGGTGTACGACACCGTGTTCCCCACCAGGTAAAAGTCTTTGGGATTCTACGAAGAAAATCACAAAAACAGTACGTTTAGCAACTTTTTCTGTACCGTACCGAACAGGTAGACATCAACGGAAACATCAGTTCCACAAACTCACCTGAATGAATCCATTCCTGAGGGCTGGAGGCGGCCCACAGGTTTTAGGTGGAGCTACAGAGAGACTGAAGCACTGAGGCTCCATCATCCTGAAAGCAAATAGATTAAAGTGAGATAAACAACAAACATCTTTTAAAAATACAAGATATTCCTGAAAATAAAGCGCTTGGAGGACATCATCCCCATAAGACAAACCAATCGACTTAGATCTCTGCCATCCTACTAGATGAAAAGCAAAAGTCTGTATGCTGAGTCCTTACTGTAAATACTGGATGTCTGCATCCTCGCAGGGCTTCTGCTCCGTCTGCGGTCCGATGCAGTGGTTCCCGCCTCTGCTGGGCGTCGGGTTGTTGCAGCTTCGGGTTCTTGACTTTTGACCTCCAGAGCAGCTTCCTCAGGAGGACCAGCAACTCCAGCTGCCATGGATCACCCCTGGAAGACAGAAGGTGTTTTTTTTTTTTCTGGTTCTGTCTTGTTTTGAGGCAGTTTGTTGTAAGTTTTCATGTTGAGTGTTGGTGTTGTTGTTGCGCCAAACTTTGGTACTAATTTGACATATTATTTCCGGTTGAAACCATCTGATCCCCTCAGAGTCTTTGGGTCACGTACCTGGCTGCTCTCCGATCACTGCCCCCCTCTCGCAGGCCCGTCCGGAGGTTCCCGGCCGGCAGACGCAGCGACACTCGGATCCGGTCAGCAGCGGCTGGCCGTTGTTCTGGCAGGGCCGGCAGTGGCAGGGATGCTCCTCGGACAGGTATTCCTCTGTGGCTCTTTTCAGGTGGAGCTTCTTCAGTCCTGCACAGTCAACCTCCTTCACCAGCTCATACAGCGGACGCAGCTGGGATTCGAGAAGAAATGTATGGACGAGGTATTTAACAACACCCAGAACGTACAGCAGAGTATAGAATCAATCAGGGAAGAAATGATGGAGGCCAGAGAGCACAGTGGCTCCACCTCTTCTCCCACCACAGACACTGATGTGACATTAACAGGATTATTATTTATCCTTTGCACGTTTAAAGCTGTTTACACCATTTACTCTGTAGCCTTACACCATTTTCAGGTAAATATTTTCCACATTCCTGCAGTAGATCTATAACTCTTTTTTTAAAATAGTACTTTAATAATCCTTTAAATTTCCAACAATTGCTCCGTATCTGTCTTGTAAAACTTTGTCTACTGCCACGCTTGTTTTTATTTAAGAAATCTTAGTGTTTACTGTTATTGATGCACTAAAACAACAATTTGAATTCCCTGCCTGTGAAAACCAACTTGGCAATAAAACTGATTTGAATTTTGATTCTAAAATATCCTGAGCTTCTAAATTGATAATAAGTGAATATACGGTGCTTTATTGACAAATTTCCTCTGAATGGGACTGTCATTTTTGCAAAAAGGTTTACTGAGGTGACAAATTAATTGAGAAGTGGGGTCCTTTTCTCAAAACCGTCAATGTAATCAAACTTCTTCCTGCAACCAGAGGAGTCGCCTCCTGCTGGCTGGCAGAGAAAATGCAGTTTTAATGCACTTTCATGTTGGTTTCACTGTTCAGACCCTCCTTTAATTGCTATCTATGACTCAGACCAAACCACATGATACTATTCCAGCATGTTCTTTGCACATTTTAGCTCGTGCATGTCCAAGATGTTCACCCCTTCACAGAGTTGGTTACTTAGTTAGCTAGCAAGTTTGGGTAAAATCTGCCAGCAATAGCTGCAATCTCAGCTAGAAAACTGGTATTTGTATGTTGAAAAGGAGAAGCTGTTTTTGTCTGCTTACTTTTGAATCACAAACCCAGTTTTTAAAGGAAGTAAATGAGTTTCAAGAGTTAAATCTGCCACTTTTTTCACTGTAACTACAAACATGACATGTTAAAAACGACGGCAAAGGATTGGTGCTAGATTCCAAAACTCTGGAGAAGATTGTGGAGGAATTAAGTCGACAAATAACCCGTTGTTTTCTATGATGCTAAAACCTGGCCTCAGCCTTGTCCTAAGTAGTTATCTCTGCCTCCCCCTGACTTTTGGGATCTTTAATGTCCATAAGTGGTTGATGCATCACAACAAACCAAAATGCAAAAGTTAAAAAGGAATGAAAATCTCAATATAAAGGTCTTAAATCAACCTTCTACCTTCTGGTCTATGACTTCAGGAAAGTCTTTGACGGACGACGCCCAGTTATCGTAGATTTCTCCGTTAGCTTCGGGGTTCTCCAGATCCAGACGAGACAGACCCGCTATGAAGGCCGGATCTCCTCCGAAGATGTTCACCTTGATGGGCATCGTGGCGACATTGTGTCCTGCAGACAAACCGCATCAGAGACGATCATTTATTTGATTTCTTTTGACTCGGTGTGTGGTTTGATGATCTACACTTGAAGGACTTCCCTCACCTTGTTTGGATGAGAAAGCTTTTGTCAGTTTTTCACAGGTGGTCGTGACTTTCTTCCGGAAGAAACGTCGCTTCACTTTTTTCCAACACCTCTGGTACTCGATGTCTGTGGTGCCTTCACACAAATGAGATGGAAGCATGAGATTTAACGGTTAAAAGAGCTCATATGATCTGACCACAGCACCAAAACTTGGTACCTAAAGGACACAAGTGTCAACAAGACAAAACTGGACACTTTGAAGGTTTTATCGGAGGTAAACACTTTCATCTATTGTGTGTTTGTGTTATTTCCTGTTGTACGTGTATTGACAGCTGTTGTAGCCAATAACTGTTTGATAAAAGTTGTCCTTGCCCCTTTTTTGAAAGGAAATGTTCTGTGGTAGACAACTCCTACAGCACAGTTACAGTTTTTCCTTTAAAGTAACGCCACATCTCAGGTTCTTACTGGATGATTGGAGCGCGTCTCGGTCCAACTCCAGCAGGGCTTGGTATTCGCCTCCCAGCGAACCTTCGGAGAGGTAATGCGTGCCGTACTGCTGCAGCAGCTGGCGATAAACCGAGTAGTCGTAGGTGACGGGCAGCGAGGACAAGGCCTTCCAGAAGCCTTCGGACAGCGCCAGATACTCGGGGGCAGAGTTTTGAAACTGGGCCAGCTCCACTTTGTTCTTCAGGATTATCAGCCTGTGGGCCTTGGATGGTAGACATGAAAACGGATGAGATTTTAAGAAAGCCTCAGCAGTGATTTGCAAAGCAGATGGGGTTATGAATCCACCTTGTTTTCGGTGAGATCTTTGTGGAAGGTTCGGCGGTCGTGTCCCCACAAGGCGTTGGACTGGATGTGCTGCATGTAGGACCAGGAGCTCTCGTAGGACTCATCGCTCTCATCGTTGTTCACTGTCACCTGCAGCACAAAGACGGCATAGAGCAACATTAGCACGCATTAAAATTATACATAACGTAACTAGATTATTAATAGTGGAGCATCAGGGTGTCAGCAGCATGTTGACTCCGACTCAGGCACCGTTTAAAACCAGCCGCAAGGTTCAGCACAAAATTGTTACCACCCATGATGACCTTCTATTTATTGTTTCAGCTGATTTTATTTATTTCATTATCATTTATTCATTTTATTTATTTATCATAATGTCAAGAAATAAAGGTCAGGATTATTCACCGTGAACTTGACCTCCAAACATACATTTATACTTCGACTCACCTCAAAGTTGTATCTGAGGATGTTCTCTGGGAGTCTGTAAAAGACTTTGTGGTCGCCGCTGAGCACCTTCCTGCACTGTCCCCCAAAGCTCAGAGTGTTGATGACGCCGGCCCTCAGTTTCCCCGTCAGCACGTCGTACCTGTGAGAAAATAGCACCACAAATCTGTTGTATGGGCTTTTACCTCTGATTCACCAGCAGGCCTCTACAGCCACTTGTTACCACACAGAACCAGATCTCTGGGAGTCATAGTTTCTTACCCTCGACCCGTGAAGTCAGAGTTGGGAGGCGTTTTGTCGAGGTCACACGAGTAGTGGCCATCGTCTTGGTGGCAGCTTCGCTCGTCCAGACCGTCCCTGCAGTCCTGGTCTCCGTTACACACCAGAGACTGGCGGATGCACTGACCTGCAACGAGATTTCATTACAGGAGACACCAGAGGAAATTAATGAATTCATTGCCTATTATTTATTGGTATGGGAACGTACCAGAGGTGCAGCGGAACCTTCCTCCGCAGCCTGTTCCCAGGGGACAGCTTTTCTGCGGGACACACGACTGCGTTTCTGTGGCTTCCCCCGAACACGGCGAGCCGCCAAACTGGGCGTAAACCTCCACGTGGCGAGTTCGCACCTGAAAAGGAAATTAATTAATTAGAGTCTCTCCTTTTTTAAAAATGTCTTTATTTATTTATTTACAGGCTTTTAGTTGGATCTGTTTTAATTCACAAACAAGAAGAAACATCTGGGGCTAAAAAAATAAAAATAAATAAATGAGGTGCAGTTCCTCAAATGACCACCAGGCCACCGACTCCGATCCCAGTAGATCTTCATGTTAAAATGTTCAACTTTACAGCAGAACTAAACGTGTTTACAGCCTGGTTTAAAACCTGTTTTTGGTCTCTACAGCTAGTTTCATGATTTATGACAACAGAGCAGCAGCTGAATTTTAATATAACTCACCATTTTAATTTGTATTAAGACTTAAAGCTGTGCATATTTAAGACACTGAGTGACAGATGGGTATCATCATGGTCCACCTCAGCTCCATTGACCTCTTTGCCAATTTTTGGATTATCTGAGGACCTGTAGGTGGCATCGTGGAGTGATTGTCCGTCTTTATATGCAATCTGTGCTCCCAAATAACAAGAACTCACAGCTTTGATGTTGATACGAGATCTTTAGATGAGGCATTGTGCACTTTATTTTCAAGATGGAGCCAAATTAAATCTAGAGACTATAATTACCGTGGCAGCCCCACATGACACCGAGTGGAGAAACAACAACACCAGCATTTAAAACAGCACAAAAATCAATTATTTTTAGCGGATTAACCTCAATTAGGGGATTTGCTCACGAAAAAAGCAGTAAATCGATGTCTTTGTTTCATGGAATTAAGCTTTGTTGTACTTTGATGCTCTGATTTTAGTGAACAGAAAGCTGAAGGATCCAATAGAAAGCTGAGTTATTATATATGTTGCTCTGAATCAGTGAAAGGACTGGCAGCAACTTTTAACTTCTCATTTCAAACTGACCATGTGAAAGATTTCTTTAAATTTAATGTTTTCAAACAAACATTTAAGTGTTTTTAACGACAATCTTATCATTATGACAATAGCCATGTTTCCATTAATGTATTGTTATGTGCATTTTGAGGTAAAATTAAATAGAAATTCCCCAGTTTCACAAGAAATCCTTCACTTCTGGAGGTTGCATTGGACTTTTTTTTGGAAAAAGAGTTAATGCACTTCATGGAAGATGGAAACCAGTTTCCTGAATAAGTTCCGATGCTGCAAACTTTCTGCTCACACGACTGATCAGCTGTTTCTTTTTGTAACGGCAGAAATATGTACAATACCAGCTGACGTGATTATTATTAATAACAACTTTCTCAAGTTAAAAAAAGAATTCCTAAAGACTTTTTTTCAGTTTTTCTGTCCAAGATGGTTTAAGTTTTGGTTGTTTTTGCGGATTTCCAACAGCGGGTTTTTGTTTCCGGCCTTCTCTACTCTGTTTATTTCAGCTAAACGCAAAACCATCATCTTCAGTCTCATTCGTTACTCCAAACCAGTAGCAAAGGGCTTCATATTTTTGTATTTAACATTAAGCGTAAATCTGTTGTTTTCTGCTCGTATGGGTCAAAGTTAAACCGAGGGGGGACAAACAACCCATACAGGCACTGATTTACTTGATCGAATATGTGTTCAAAATAATGTTAGATTAATTTTAGGGGGTTTTAAGTTTTGACAGATGGCCTAGAAAATGAATACCTTGGTCCTGGTGCAGCCGTCACACTCGGACCACTGTCCATAAGACCCCCATCTGCAGTTCACAGCCTGCTGACACCTGACAGGAGGCAGCAGTACAAAGCATTTATTATATTAGTGTCTGTGAGAATTAACTGATGTTACAGCTTCTTGGAAAAAAAAAGAGCAGTAGACTCACATCAGATAATAAAAACTGAGGCTGTTCTTTAACAAAATATGCATTTTTATGACCCAGAAAGAAGGACAAAGACGGTCTGAGATGTATTTTACATCATTAAAACATCATTATGCTGCAGTAGAATGAGAAACGCATGTGTTCACCTACCAGACTGGTGATATGAAGGCAAGTAAGAGGGTCAAAGCTGCAGCCAGATCCAACTGAGAACCAAAAAGAAGAAGAGCAACTATCTTGTGAGTGAGGTTTTCTAGCAGATTGCACAAAAACAATCTAAGTTTGAGGGTTTTTACCTTCATGCTGCTCCGCTCAGCGTTGGGCCTCCTCGTTGGCTGCAGCTCCATCAAAGTGGGGCTGATATAAGGAGCTGAGGAGGGGGAGGAGAGCAGGACTGTTACCCAACAGGGTCCAGGAATTCCCCCTCTGAAGAAACCCTCGTCCAGCCGGAGTCCTGCTGCTCTGAGTCACAGCGTTCAGCAGCTCCAGCTTTGTCGTGAAACGTGACGAAATGGGTTTTGTTGTCGTCGTCAGTGGATGAATCTGGTTGCGTCACAACTGTTTATTCAGGATCTGCATGATCCGAGCAAAGGTTAGAAAAATCCCCGTTTGGCCTAAATTACTTTATTTTTGACTCTGAGCTTGCAAAATGTTTCTGGAAATAACAGCTTTGTCTTAGTTTTTATCTCCACTTTTCTTTGCCAGCATGCAAAAAAATCAGGTCAACAAACTTCTCAGTAAACAGTGTGTTGATCTCCCGTGGATCTCGTTTAATAATGTAATCTGATTACCTCTTAAACAGGTAGGCAGTAACCTGATCCACAATAAAACTATTACTTAGCTACTTTCTGTTGTCTTCTGGATGACCTCAATACCAAATACTGTGTTTTAAATAACCGTAAATTAAGAGAAGAGAGAGAAATGACTTTTACTGAGGTGATTCTGTAACACGTGCATGCTGATATCCAACTGTAGTGCATCTAACAATCCATGTTTTTACCAAATTTATTCACATTCTGATGCTTTTTCTTTCTTTCTGTAGCTTTACTAATATTCTTATTACTCTATTTATCAAACTGGATCTATGTTTATCTGATTACTGGAGCTGATATTCAGAATTTTCCCCCAGTTATCAGTATTGTTATCTAATTGTTGGCCAGCCTCCAGTATATTAGGTTCATATAAGTCCATCTACCTGCCGTCTGATTGGTTACACATCACCACTAACAGCCAATCAACATTCAGGGAGAAATGTGTCGTGTTGGAGTTTGTGTTATTCTAAATTTTGGAACCAAGATTTTCATTTTTACTAAAAACATAAAGTCTGTTAGTTCCAGGTATTAGTCAGCATCAACAATGACCCTGAAATAGAAAAACATTTCAGTCGATCCCTGAACCTGAAGACTTTTGTTCTAAGGAGATATTTCTAGTCGTCCTAAAAATCTGTAATCAGTTTGGGTTTTTTTGTTTTTGTTTTATGTATAATTAAAGAAGTAAACACAGTTCTACAGACAGAGGTACAAATGTTCTGTTGAGGATTCCTCTTGTCTTTCTTTTGTTTCCATCATTTCATTCTTTTTTAAACCATTTTATTTTAAATTGTAGTTGTAGAAAAGCTTCTCCAGAATTCCCTCCTGAGTCCATGTGGACTGAAGTCGTCCACAGCAGCTCTGGATCTGAATCTAATCCAGCAGCAGCAGCATCAGCAGCATGTGGCTCCATTAACGGTGAGTTACTGTCTGTCTGCTGGGAGGGTTTGAGCTTCAGGATAGTTATGATCTTTAACAAATAATAATAATAATAATAATAATAATAATAATAATAATAATAATGTTACAACAACAAGAAATGATCAGATATATTTGTGGCATGGGAACCAAAAAAATATGTAAACAAACAAACAAACAAACACAAAACAAAACAAAACAGTGGAATACTGTAAAAAAAAAAAAAGGTAGACAGAAGGTCAATTGGACGGCAAATATTTGCAAAATAATGTTCTGTTTTGTTTTTTGGAGATTTGAATTCAATTAAACAGTGTAATTGTACAGTCAAACATTTTAAAGGTTCAAATGAATATTTGCAAAAAGACAGATTTAAAAAATAAATCAGGACATTATTTACATTTGGGTTGTTTATTTATTTGTTTTTTTAAAGTCAACATGCAAATTATGACTGTTTTCTGTGAATTTACTGGATATTATCAGTTATTTTTTTATTCCTTAATATACATACACTTTCTTTCAAACAACAACTAACATCTATAAAATA